TCTATCAAATGGTTAATCCCATGAAGATGAGATTTGCAATTCCCATTAGAATAGTCATTCTTTTCCAAAAAAATATATCAATCATGGGATAAGGAATGAGCAAGAGAATAATCAATTCATTCACATTTCATTCCCTCATACCAATCATTCAATTATATATACCCATACGGGATATTAATACTTGTTGAGGAACTTTTGGAAGTTTAATCGAAAATTTGGAATTAGCAGAATTATTCACTATTTTGTTAATTTGTTTGACAGAAAAAGAGAAAAACCAACAATCATAAGACCTCAACCCCAGTATGGAGGACCAAACTTCTTCTGTGACCATCACGCTCAAGGTACATTTCTTTTTTGTTTAATTTTCTTTCCCCGACTATTAATTTTCAATCTCACGACCGAAATTCACAGTTCGAGGATGTCTCATTCGATCTCAAACGAGGATCGAATGTCGTCCCCATCCTGAAAGGCATATCGGGCTCGGTCCGTGCTGGCGAGATCCTAGCCATGTTGGGACCTTCCGGCAGCGGCAAAACCACCCTCCTGACCGCCCTCGGCGGTCGTCTCTCCGGCACCCGCCGTCTCTTCGGCACCATCACCTACAACGGCCGGCCGTTCTCGTCGGCAGCCAAGCGGGCCATAGGGTTTGTGACCCAAGACGACGTCCTCCACCCTCATCTGACCGTGGGGGAGACCCTCATCTACACAGCCCTCCTCCGGCTGCCGTCCAGCCTGTCCTCCGCCGAGAAGGCAAGGCACGCGGTTGCCGTGGGGGCCCAGCTTGGGCTGTCGAGGTGCTGGGACAGCATTGTGGGTGGCCCGCTCATGAGGGGCGTGTCGGGCGGGGAGAGGAAGCGGGTGAGTATAGGGCAGGAGATGCTCATAAACCCAGGCCTGCTGCTGCTCGACGAGCCCACGTCCGGGCTCGACTCGACCAATGCATCAAGGCTCGTGTCGACGCTGCGTGGGCTGGCTGACGGAGGGAGGAGTGTTGTGATGACGATCCACCAGCCGTCGAGCAGGATCTTCTACGAGTTTCACAAGGTCCTTCTGTTGTGCGATGGGAGCCCTTTGTTCTTCGGGCAGGGATCGGGCGCACTCGATTATTTCTCGGGAATCGGGTTTGCCCCGTCGGTCCCCATGAATCCTGCTGACTATTTGTTGGACCTTGCCAATGGTGAGTTTGTTGTATCTATAGAATTTGTTTTCCTTTATTAATAATGGTTAAATTGAAATTACTTTCTGGTTGTCCATTAGGTATTTCTACTGTGGATTCGGACGAGGACCGAGTTGAGATTCAGAAGACGTTGGTGTCTGCTTACGAGACACATTTATCAAGTAATGTGAAATCGGAAATAAATGTTGCGGATGAAGGCAGTCGGTTGAATTTCCCACTACACGGTGATAACGATAGGCAACCAAGTATGCAGTGGCCTAACAATTGGTGGTTCCAATTCTGGGTGCTTTTTACTAGAGGGATCAAAGAAAGGAAGCACGACTCGTTTTCTATACTCAAGGTTGTCGAGGTTCTCATCGTGGCTATTGTGAGCGGTCTAATCTGGTGGCAATCCAACATCAGTCACTTACAAGACCAGGTCGAACTCAAACCCACACACTCAACTCCTAATTAATTAACTACAAATAAACGGAAAACTTTTGCATCTTGGACATGTTTAAATTGTGAATGACATGTATACAGGTCGGGCTTTTCTTCTTCTACTCGTCATTTTGGGGCTTCTACCCTCTATTTCAAGCCATCTTCACTTTCCCTCAAGAATGCACTATACTCTCGAAGGAAAGATATTCCGGGATGTACAAATTGTCATCCTACTTCATGGCTCGGACTCTTGGTGACCTTCCAATGGAGTTAGTCCTTCCCACCGTAGGCTACACCATCACCTATTGGATGGCGGGTCTCAAGGCCACAACAGGATCCTTTTTGTTGGGCTTACTCGTCCTTTTATACAGTGCGATGTGCACTCAAGGGCTGGGTCTTGCACTTGGTGCGGTGATCATGGACTCAAAATCGGCCATTACGCTTGGATCGGTCATCATGCTGACCTCATTGCTGTCCAGTGGGTACTATGCTCAGCACGTGCCAAGATTCGTGGGCTGGATTAAGTACATCTCGATCCCTCAGCACACGTACAAGCTACTTTTGGCTTCACAATACACGCCTGGCGAGACATATCCTTGTGGCGCTAACAAGATTTGTCGAGTTGAGAATTTTCCGGCGATAGCAACGGTTGGGCTTGATGGTATTGTCGTGTCTGTGATCACTATGGCTGTGTTGCTTGTGGGGTATCGGCTCGTAGCTTATATTGCCCTCATGAGGATTGGTAGGAATTAGTAGACTTCGAATTGATGACGAAAAGAACAAACCTTGCGTTGTTATTTTGAATTATTCTTATCTTGGATTGGATCAATGGTTATTTTGCTAATTTGTTTTAACATGATTGTCAGTTCTAAATTTTGAATCGTTTATGGTAAAGCTTTGTCCATTCTAATTCTCGGCCTTTTGAATCGTTCATATTTTGAACTATGTCAACTGTTATTTTTCACTAGTATGTTTTTATCATGATTGCCAGTTCTAGTTTTTCTTAGTAATTTGAATCTATTAAGATATTAAAGGATTAGTAGAAGAAGCTGCCATGAATAAAGCTTTGACTCATTAATTTTTATTTAAATGTGGTGAAGAAAGTTGCGGCATGTGGTAACTCATAACCTTTGTATGTTGGAATTTTTGGTCCATGGTAGGTGCAATATTAATGTGCAGCGGGGCTCGTATTTTTGGGTGATGTGTAGAAAATTATCATATTATCCTTAATGAAGGTATAATTTTAATTTTTTTTAGTTATGAGATTATCCGATCTAATGATCACCATTTATTCCTATTTCTTTCACTGAATATCATTCTCACTTGAACTCAATCATAGCACTACATATCATTAAAAATAGCGGTTCTCACGGTTCTACACTAGGACTTGGTTCTCATTTAAACCACATCCTATATATATATATATATATATATATATATATATATTGTCAATTAAGATATGCCACAACAAAAATGACATCCCAACAATAAAATCTGGTTGTGAAATGGTACTGTGTAGAAACTGACCTCAGTACGTGTTGCAACAAATGCTTCTCAACAAGAAATCTGACTGTGATCATGTTGCAACAAATTTGATGCTTCCCAACAAGAAATCCGATTGTGATCATGGTGAAAAAAATGACTAGTTTACCATTTTTTACGGTTTTGGTAACTTATTGTACTCATTGATTATATCTATACTTGTGTATCTTTATTAAACATAGACCAAAGTAGAGTGTGTTTGACTAATCTTAAAATTTGTGATGTCTCTAATTATAAGATGTTTATAGAGTTGCTATGCTTTTATGTCTTCTTTTAAAATATGTCAATGAAATTTTTGTAATTAAAAAGTTAGTCGTGACCCATGCAATGCATGCGATGATATATTTTCTTGAAATGTTTAATATATTCAATATTAAAATTAATAGATTTTTTTATATGTGTAGCAAAAATAAACGGGTGGCAAACAAACTAAAAAATCATAAATTATTGAATGCATCCTTGTACACAACGTTTATTGTTTGATTTGTTGGCGAGTCATCGTCACTACAGACTTATATTTGAAACCACTTTGGTTGGTGACAATTGAGACAACAAAGTATAACGTATAAGATCATCAAAAAACAAATAAAAAATATTAACATATGTTATTAACATAAATTTTATAAAAAAACAACTTAAAATGACTCAACATAATTCGTAGTACCTCATATATCTCATAGAGAGAATCGACAGTGGTCTCAACCATGTTACCAGAAGCAAGTTCATTAATTTCATCTCAAGCGACAATTGAGATTCTTGAAGACAGATGAACATTATTCCCCAGCCTATGAGTTGATGTAAACTAATAATTTGACATGTAAATAATATCACGTATTATATAAATAAAATAATTCTAAATTTTCGTGTATATGTTGAAAATACCAATCTTCTCTTAAAGTTTTGAATTTTGGGAAAATGCTCAATTGCAATGAGTCGAGTCACATTATGCGATGTGGTCAGTTGAACTTTTCCTTTTATGTTTGTGAACATAATGTATATTAGTATAAGATAAATAAAAACAACGCATATGATGTGTTTTATCGGTGCTAAGTGTAAATGTTTTATAGATACGGAAAAATACCTCTCCATGGTTTTACTCGACAAACATTGTCTATAAGTATACATGGATGATTGCAAATTGTGACTCAAATTTAAGGTGTCGATCAACAAAATATTAAAATTATCTCTTCGTCATGAAAAACAATCTCCTCAAAGTTATTGGATTCGGCATCGAATTTTCTCTCGAACACATTTATTGTCCTTAATGAAAGTAAGGTTTATCGTTGCGAGTAACGACCTTCGATGTGTCCCAAACCGGCGCAATTTTATTTTTATTTTTTTGAAAGAAATGAAGCAAAAGAAGACTCATAGAAAAGTGTTTTAGCGTATGTTGAATGAATGAGTTTTACATCATTTTTAGAAGGGTTAATTGCTATGTAAACCTCAACCTTTTTCCGTTTTGCATTTTTATCCCAACCTTTGGATAATTGCATAATAATCTCGATCTCACTTTATTTATTGCAATTCGAACCTTACACCGGTCGGACCTTCGCCAGCGTGTCCGACAGCTTACATCTACGTGGATTTTTCTGCTACCTGCATGGAAAAACAGTAAATACGTGGAAAAAAAAAACGTGTCTTTTTGGCATGGTATAAAAACGGTACTTTAACCCTAATCTCTCAAAAATTGATCGATCCACAAATCCCTAATCTAAAAAATATCTCTACAGTTTCTCCATGAAAAAAAAAAAATCGAACCTACGTATGAAATCTTATTTGTGCACAAGGATTCCGCGGCGTGGTCGTCTCAATTTCATGAGAGTTTGAGTTCCTGCGTTCGACAGTTTCAATTGACAGAGAAATGAAAGACAGGTACTTCCGATTTAATGAATTTTTATTCATAAAATGAGTGAATTATAGAATAAATCTATATAAGGTTCGTTTAGGATTGATAATCTTCCATGGATTTAGAATTCCTGAGGTAAAATACGGTTCTTTTGAGAAATTAGGGATTTTTCGAAAAATTAGGATTTTTGCAAAAATTAGGATAATTAGGGTTTTATGTGGAAATTAGAGATTTTTTGTAAAATTAGGATTTATTTGAAAAAGGGAGGTTTTTCTGGGATATTAATATGTGAATTTACTAAGAATAATATCTTCTGCGGTGAGAAATTTTCAAATTCTTATGGATTTTTATGGATTTTTTTTTCCTTGCAGTGGCAAGTTTTCAATTTTTTTCAACTATGGAGGATACTTCGTCAAATTGGAAATGTGGTTGACTACTTAGGTGGCAGTTTCAAGAGAGTCCATGGTTTAGATGTGGATAGATTTGGTTTTTTTGACTTAAAAGAAGAAGTTGAAAAGCTGGATGTTGGTAAGTTTGAGAGAATTGTCTACGGAGTTCCAGATGTTACTGGAAAACGAATCTTTAAAGATGTAGTAGATGATAGTGTTGTTATGGAGATGATTAGAGACAGTACTCAGAAAAGATCATTAGTAGAGGTTTATGTGGTTGGGGAAAATCAGACATCCAAAAAGAATGTAGGAGAAGCAGAGAATGGTGTGGAGTTATGAGTTGAGGCACATAAAGAGAAAGAGAAGAACAATGCAGGAGAAGCACAGGAGTTAGGAGTTGAGGCACATAAAGAGAAAGAGAAGAACAATGCAGGAGAAGCACATGAGTTAGGAGTTGAGGCACATAAGGAGAAAGAGAAGAACAATGCAGGAGAAGCACAGAAAGGAAAGAAGAATGCAAGTGTAGAAAATGCTTCTATGTCAGAGGATGCTTTTGATATAGATACATATATAGAAGAATTCAGTTTGCCAGATGAACAAAATGGTGTGGATTTAGGAGTTGAGGGGCAAATAGATTGTGATGCTGATGAAGAAGTGGGGAAAAATTCACAGTTGTCTAATTCAAATGTGGGTGAATGTGAAGTTCAAAGCTTTGGAGATGATAGTGATAATGAAGATTATTTTCCCATGGGAGATAGTTCATCTGATGATGAACTTTCTGTAGATGACTTTGCCTCTGATGATGATGGTGAATATCTTGAGGCAAGGCAGAATTTGAAGAACCAAAAAAAGAGGAGATTGGAAGATGAAGAGTGTGCAGATAACATTTCTTCAGGTAAGGTCATTGAGATGGACAGTGAAGATTCTGGCTACTTAGACTCTGCATTGTTATCTGATAGTGAATGTGAAATGGATGAGGAGGGGAACTACATAGGTAGAAAGAGAAGGGTTAATTATGACCCTAAGTGTGATCACAACACTCTTGAGTTTGTGCTAGGGATGAGATTCATAAGCATAGATGAATTGAAAAGAGCAGCAGTCAGGAATGTTGCAATTTTCCAAGGTAGGGACATACAGTTTACCAAAACTAGCAAAAAACTGTTAAGGGTGAGATGTGTTGATGGTTGCCCTTGGAGCATGTATGCTAGTGCAGTTATGAGTGAGGGCAGTGTAGCAATCAAGCAATTGATCAAGGAGCACAAATGCCATAGAAATGTGCACACCAGGCAAGTTACATCAGAATGCATTGCTGAGGAATTACTTGAAAAGTTGAGGAAGAATCCAAACATGACCATAGCCCAAATTGAAGAAGTGATTTCTAAAAAGTATGCAGTACAACCTACAAAGTGGAAGTTATATAGAGGAAAATGGAGAGCTCTTGAGATGCTTAGAGGTTCAGTAGCAGGCCATTAGGCTTCTCTGAGGAGTTACATGGCAGAGCTGTTAAGGGTGGACAGAGATGGAAGGTTTGAGTTTCTTCTTGGTGAAGAAACAACATTCAGAGCTTTCTATATTGGGTTCAGTGCACCGAGAAAGGGTTTTCTTAGGGGTTGTAGACCCATTTTGGGATTTGATGGGTGTTTCTTGAAGACTTTGTTAGGAGGGGCTCTATTGTGTGCCACATCAAAAGATGGCAACAATCAAATATACCCAGTTGCTTGGCAGTTGTTGAAACAGAGAATGAGGATTGGAGATGGTTTTTAAGTATTTTGTTCACTGATTTGGGCATTAATGATGGTCTTGGATATACATTCATGTCAGACCAACGAAAGGTATGTTTTCTCTCTAACATGTCTCAATTTCAAAATTTATGAAATTGTAGTTCATATATGCATATCTAATTTTAAGTATTTTTTTATTTAACTTGTGCATATCTAATTTTAAGTATTTCTGAATTTAACTTGTGCATATCTAATTTTAAGTATTTAACTTGTGCATATCTAATTTTAAGTATTTCTGAATTTAACTTGTGCATATCTAATTTTTAGTATTTCTGAATTTAACTTGTGCATATCTAATTTTTTTTTTTTTTTTTTTTACTTGTTGTACTTTTACAGGGTCTTCTGAGTGCACTAAAGGATTTAGCCCCACATGCTGAGCACAGAAATTGTGCAAGGCATGTATATATGAACTGGAAGAAGAGCTTCAAAGGACACTCACTGAAAAGTATTTTTTGGAAGACTGTTCTGAGCACTAACTTGGGTGACTACAACATAAATTTGGAGGACTTGAAGCTTGAAGATCCAGATGCTTGTGAAGATTTCATACCAGAGACCCTACCAAATTTTGTAAGGCTTATATTTCTCCAATGCCAAGATGTGATATGATTGAGAATAATGTGAGTGAGACATTCAATGGTCTTATTGTGAAGGGTAGAACCAAGCACATTATTGATATGTTGGAGTTTGTTAGAAGTCAGTTAATGAAAAGGCAATATGACAAGCTGTTAGAGCTTAGTGGGCATACATATATAATTTGTCCTAGAATAAGAAAGAAGCTTGAGAACAACAAGTATATGTCTAGACATTGTCTCACAAATCCAGTTGTAGGTGATGTATTTGAGGTTGTGCATCAGGATGATCAGTTTGTGGTGAACTTGAGGAACAGCACATGTACTTGCAGATACTGGGATATTACAGGCATACCTTGTGGTCATGCATGTTCTGCAATGCATTTCCAACATAAGGATCCTGTAGATTTTGTGTCTGAGTACTTCTCACTTCAAAGGTATCTGAAAATGTACAGTTTCTCATTGCAGCCTATAAATGAAAAGAAGCTGTGGCCAGTTGCACAAGGATATCCTATTCTACCCCTTCCCTTTAAAAAGATGCCAGGAAGGCCAAAGAAAAAAAGGAGAAGAGATGCTGAGGAAGAAATAAATTCTGGGACTAAGTTGAGGAGATTTGGGATGGTTATGACTTGTCAGAGATGTTTCAAAAAAGAGCACAATAAAAAATCCTGTTCTAATCCTACAGTTGAAAAACAGCCAAAGGTTAGAATTTGTAGATGAATTAGTATTTATTCATTATATTAGATAATTTTTAATCTCAATTATTTCTTGTCAGAATCCAAGGGGAAGGCCTAAGAAGATTGTTGGACCACAACAACCGCAGAGAACAGTTGAAAAGACAGCATCAGTGTCAAGAACAAGAATGCAGTCAAGTCAACAGTCATCTTTGACTCAAAGGGAAAGAGCTCTGGTAATATAATTTTGTTTGAATGAAGTTTTAGTGATATGTTCATGGTGTATCATGTTGAATTTCTAATGTGTTATACTTGTTTTTAGGCAAGAAAGGGGTTTGGTGTCCTTCAGTCTGAGGAGTCTGGTAATACATACATTAGGGTATGTTTCTTACCCTAATTGAAATTTCTATATTTATCATTTGTCTAAAATCCTGTATATTGAAATCAGTCTTTTTTAATTCTGAAATATTATTTGACATGTCAAAAATGCAGTTGTCATTAGAAAGAAGGGTTCATGTCATTTCTGGGAGAGATGGTATGTCTAGCAACTCTAGAGGCAAGAGGATTAGGAAGAGTACTGGGGATGGATTAGGAACCCAGGAAAGTGTTGCTGACAAAGGATGATTGGTAGTGATGTTTTGAAAGATGTTTGTGATTGGCAGTAATGCATTTCTGATGGTTTACAATTTTTTGTGATTATGCTATTGAAGAACCTTGTGTTTGTAATGCTATTGAAGTATTTTGTTAAGTTCTGAACAGTGGTTTGTGTTTTGATATTCTTGGAAGAAACAGTGGTTTGTATCTTTTGGTGTCTTATGAACAAAGGTTATTATTGAAACATATTATAAATCTTAGTGTTTTTTTTCCCGAAACGATAGAGAGTATTATAAATCAAATGCACAAATGTGCGAATACACAGCAGCGAACAGCTGAAAAAGTGGGAGGACAGGTCAGAAGACCGCCTAAAAACCCGACTAGCAACGCTAGAAAAAAACACTCACAACTAACCAACTACACAACGACAAAACACAAACTAAAACCAAAACAACTAAACAGACCCCAACAGAGTAATACCCGAGTGTCGGATCCCAACAGGATAATAAGGTGACACTCGGGCTCACAGAGGCCAACGGCCCAGACCAAAACCACACAAACAGAACAATAACAATAACAAAAACACAGACCCACTAAGACTAGAAACAAAAAACAAGAAAGAGGACACATCCTCCCCTACCAGATACGACTAAGTATACGGCAGACAAACCAACTCCACTGATAGGTCTAAAGCACAGAAATAACCGTCCACCACTGCAGAAGGCCTAGCAAGACGGCAACCCGCACCGCAGGACCAACCGAAGAGCAGTCCTGCACTTCAATCACGAGAAGAGGCAAACACGACTCAACCCAGCCCGAAGCAACTGAAACACGACCAAGCAGCCTAGCTCTAACCGGAAACAGCAATCCCAACAGAACTACGACCACTAACCGTGGACTCCCATATGCCACTCGCCAAGAAGGAACCAAGAGGTCCCACCAATCACAAACACAATAGAAAATCGAGACAAAAGCAGCAAAATCGTGGGCATACCTCCAATTGACATACGACTGTCGAAGCAAGGGGCGGCCACAGCCAATCGCCAGCGAAAAGGCGCAGTCCAGACCGGCGACGAGAAGGCGAATAGAGGAGAATCAGCGACCCAGCCAAATCCGATTGCAGCTATCCCAACCTCGTCCATGAACCAGCACCACACCCCAACCATTGCCGACCGAACCTGTACTCCAGCAACCAACAAGGAAGGAGAACCTTCACCATTGGCCAAAATTCGAAGCAGGAAGAGGATCGACAATAGAGAAGAGAGATGCCCCGCCATGTACGAGTGACCGAAGGCCGTCCATCGATGGACCCAGATGTCCGACAAGGGAGATTCTACCGGCGCAATTTATGGATGTCGATCGGCTAGGGTTAGGGAGACGAAAGGGGATCTTATTAAACCCTTTTTCCTAATTTTTTTTAGTTAAAGTTTAAATCTTAGTGTTGGGTGTTGTATTTTTTCTATTTGGAAAGATGTATATGTTTTTGTTATTGTTCAGAGGTGACCAATTTGTCTTTGAATCATATTTACAAAACAATTTATGTTATGAACAAAGGTTTGAAGCTAACCCAAATGATATTAGACTTTTTATTAATGGCAAAATATACAAAAAAAAAAGGACAACAAGAACAACACTACAACCACAAGTTCAGACAACTACAGATTCCATTAATTTATAGGTTAAATACATCAACCATAACATAGGAAAATATTCAAATTCAACCATGACATAACAAACTATTCAAATCAACATTTTAGGCCCCTCGACCTCACCATGCTTTCCAAGCAAACCAAGAACAAAAACAGTACAACCACAAATAAGAAAAACATAACAACATTCAACTTCCTTTCTAGTTTATTATGCATGAGGGCTAATGTATTTGCCAGAACCAGCACGCTTTCTTTATTTTTCTGAACTTCGGCCAGCACGCTTTCTTTATTTTTCTGAACTTCGGACAGCACGCTTTCTTCATTTTTCTAAACTTCGGCCAGTACTCTTTCTTTATTTTTCTCAACTTCGGCCACAAGATCATTCAATTTGCATTCAAACTCACTGCCTTGGTCGAAGAATTCATCTTTTTCCATTGCCCTTTCAGTGTACATTTTCTCCAACTTACTCTTTCGTCTCAGCTGCTCTTCCAAAGATTCCTTCTGAGATTTCAATTGCCAAAAACAGGATTTCTGGAAATCGGGAAGTGCGGGATCAATCCACTCAAAGAATTTGCAGTCATCCCCTTCCTAAATATTTAAAATTCAAAAAATTAGGGCTACAGAATTTGGGGCTTTTGAGAAAATTAGGTTTATAGGAGAGTAAAATTAGGGTTTATACAAATTGGGTTTTATCTCGTCACAAATTAGGGTTTATACAAATTGGGTTTTATCTTTAAGAAATTAGGGCTCTAAGAAAGTAAAATCGAGAAGTTAAATCACGAGCTCACCAATCTTTTCGGACACCTGTAGAACCGCCTACATGGATTCTCAAACGTCGTGGAGGTTAAGATGTCGGCTTCCTCGATATGGCGGCAGTTCTTCTTCGCAGAAAAGCTTCTTCCGGAACTCTGGCTTGCGCGAGATGAAGACGACATTTTCAAACAAATCACGAGAGTAATAGTCTGCAAGAAATGAGATTTTTTCGAAGTGAAAATTTGGGAATTATGGATTCGATTTAGGGATTCGGTTGGAGGTGTTATAGTGACAGGTTTTATAGAAAGAATTTAAGGACACGTTTTTTTTTCCACGTATTTACTGTTTTTCCACGCAGCAAGCAGAAAAATCCACGTAGATGTAAGCTGCCGGACACGCTGGCGATTTTTGAAAGTCCGACCGGTGTAAGGTTCGAATTGCAATAAGTAAAGTGAGGTCGAGATTATTATGCAATTATCCAAAAGTTGGGATAAAAATGCAAAACGGAAAAAAATTGAGGTTTAAATAGCAATTAACCCTTTTTATAAAGAAAATTTGATACACTACAATTAACATTCAAAATAAAATATATAAATAAAATATCTGAAAAAAAATGGATGAAAAAAATGAGAAATTTAAAAAAGATTCCATATGATCGGATATGCCACGACCACTCTTCTACTACTGAATATTCACATGCATGTTTTAGCTTATATTGCTCTCATGAAGATTGGTAGGAATTATTAGACTTTAAATTGATGACGAAAAAAAAAAACATCTTGCGTTGTTTAGCTTTTTGAATTATTCTTATCTTGGATTGGATCAATGGTTATTTTGCTAGTTTGTTTTTAACATGATTGTCAGTTCTAAATTTTGAATCGTTTATGGTAAAGCTTTGTCCATTCTAATTCTCGGCTTTTTGATTCGTTCATAGTTTGAACTATGTCAACTGTTATTTCACTAGTATGTTTTTATTATGATTGCCAGTTCTAGTTTTTCTTACTAATTTTAATCTATTAATATATATTTTACAAAGTTAACAAGTATTAAAGGACGTAGTAGAAGAAGAAGCTGCCATGAATAAAGTTTTGACTCGTTAATTTTATTTAAATGTCGTGAAGAAAGTTGCGGCATGTGGTAACTCATAACCTTTGTATGTTGGAATTTTTTGTCCATGGTCATCAACAGAATTATTTTTTGTTGGAATAATATATATATATATATATATATATAGATAGACTAAACTGAAAATGGTTTTCAGTGAAAGGCAGGGACGGACGCAGACCTCACTAGCATGAGGGGCACAATTTAATTTAGTAATTTAATAATAATAATAATAATAATAATAATAATAATAATAATAATAATAATAATAATAATAAGATTTTATCTTTTGATTTAATTTTTACTTTTATTTTAAATTTTGTATGAAGAATGGTTAGAAAGAAGAGTTACAAAAACTTTTAATATTTTAGTATACTGTTAGTCTTGTGTTATACAGTAACCATTGGGCCGACATACTCTTTTTAATAAATATACATATTTTTATTAAAATATGTCATAAGTATGCATTTTTGTTCAAATAGTATGATGCATCAACTCATCTAACGGTTAGATTATTTCTCACAAGAATTGGTTTTAAATATAAACACAATAACATATTTAGTCGACACGAATGATCTCCAACAATGAAATTTTAAAATCATGATATTTAATTTTTAAAATATATTTTTATTATAATAAGATTACTGTATTTATTTATATATTGTATACATTTATAAATATCCAAAAGGTATAATTATATATATATATATATATATACATACAAAATATTTTAAAATTTATAAACAGAGGCATGTGCCCCTACAGGTCCATGTGTAAATCCGCCTCTGGTGAAAGGAATACGAGTACATCTTATTCATAAAATCTGATTATCTAACCGGCAATGTGTTAAAAAAGTTGTGGAATGTAATTGTGGCCAAAACTCGGTTTCGAGCCGATTTTGATTCAGAACTGGTAGTTTAGGTTCGTCATTTTTGGTGAACCAGAACAAATCCTGATCTCGAGTCTTGTCTCTGGAGAAAGCCTATTCAGAGCCCCGTTAGCTAACTAGCCGTCAAACGCACAAAAATTGAAAACAAAGTCCTATGTTGAAAACAAAGTCCTATCTTATTAGCATGAGAGGTTGCATTTTATAACTAAAAAATATGGTCGAATGTGAATGAGTGTGATGTAATTAGCCATGAAAACCTGAAACTTTTGATTTTACATTAATAAGGTTGTTTAATAATTAAAAAGTTTAGTAGCCTCCTCGATTTAGTTGACATTGTTGCATTAATTAATGTGAAATTTCTAAATGAGGAAAAAATAAATTGAGCGATTCGTATTATACTTTTAGCATATGTTAAAATTACATAAATATCTATAATTTCACACAAAGATAAAAAATTAAAAAATACGCAGTGGAAAATAAATAAAAACAAAAGATTCAAAATTTAGCTTACTAGTGAAAATCACTTGTAGACTAAGGCAACATGCCAAAACATTCACTAGAACAAATCAATTACAATGTTTTCTAAACAATTCCAAAATATCTTAAACACGTCAAAAGAACGAAGTAACATATATCACGAGTTCGAACGAGATACACTATATCAAATTAAACTATCCAAAAAGCAAGAACACAACAATGTCAAATATGATATGAGAATAGCAACAAAGAACACAAGCTCAGAAGATCTTTGTCGTCAAAACTCCTCTTGATTGTCCGTGTTCTTCTCCGAAAATACCGCGTTGGTTGTGTTTATCCTTTTTTAATTAAAGTTGCTGCTCCACGTAGACATGGCCAATCAATGGGCCCGGGCCCAGCCCACCGGGCCGACGGTCCACAAAAGCCTAGCATGGGACCGAACCGGAAATTGCTTAGGGCCTGGTCATCGGAACGGCCCGGCCCCGCCGGTTCTCTGTGTTGGTGTATGTACTGAAAGCTTGGCTTTAGATGCACTTACACTGAACCCGTTTGAATGAAAATCATGTTTAATTAAACAGTCTATGTTCTGTTGTTTTGCACTTAGATAGAATGAGTCGTCATCAGGTGAATAGGAGATCATACTTGTTTGTCCCATTTTTGTTGCATTTTTCGTGCTCGTTTTGCTTTTCTTTATCCCCCGTTTTAGATTGTTTCCTTCGTTTTTAGTTTGTTTCGTGTTTTATTATGTGTTTTTCTTTATTTTGAGTCTTTAGGTATTTTTTCGTTTGCTTTCCCGGTTTTCTTCGTGTTTTGTCGTTTTTGGTGTGTAGGTCGGGAGCTTCGGGCGAATTTTATCTTCAGGAAAAGTTGGTTTCGAGAGCACAATTGGATAGATTGATTCGTTAGCGACGCGTAGCAAAAAACAGAACTCAATTCCGAGCCCAAACGAGCCCGAAACGTAAAATGGCGCAGTGCAGTCCAAAGTCGCGACTCGCGAGAGAAAAGTCGCGACTCGCGACTTTAACAGAGCCTCCGACCAACTGCGCGACCCCACGACCCGTCAGACTCGTGACTCGCGACCTGTTCGACCCTGTTTTTATTTTTCTCCGTTTTTACTCGTTTTAGCTCCGTTTTTCGAGCTCTATATATCAAAACGACCCCCCAGACCTAAGGAACAACGCCCAATATCGTTCCTTTCAATTTTTCTCTCCAAAAACTCAATATTGTTAGGATAAATTTCTCTGCTTTTTTTTTTCTCTCATGCTTGGATTGTTGGACACAAGGATATTTGGATTAAAATCTTGCAACTCTTAATCCGATTGTAAGTTTTTCAATTCTATTTTATTATCATTGATTGGTTTTATGTTCTTAATTCCGGTTAACATGAAATTGAATCTAAGCATGAGGTAATCCATTCACCTAGGGTTAGGGAGTTTGATTCTTGTTTTGAATTATGAAGAATGTGTTTTTTTCAATCTATACGAGTTGTGTGAATTATATGGTTAGTTGATTGATCACCATTCTAAGCTAGTTAATCGACGTTTAGAACCGAGAGGGGAGACGTCAGTCGATTTAGGCTCGTATAGAGTAGACATGTTCGTAAAAGTATTGTCTATGTGTTGCTTGTTTGAATGAATTTATCGTTTATGTTTGTGCTCTTGTTACGAAGAGTTATTGAGCATAGCCCTCTAGACGTGTAGGCTTGTTTAATCTCGTAACCGAACAAATAAGCGTTCTACATAGTTTAAGACTTGATGAGATTTCCCGACCCCTAGACCTTCTTTTTCTCTAGAAATTTAATTGTTATTTCTTTAAATTGTTTTTCTAGTGCTAGCTTGTTTTAGTTGATTCCCCAAATCAATCGTGATTAAAGTGTTTAGGACTTATTTTCTTTTCGTTTGTGATCAAGACCAACGCTAAATTCCGAACTGTCTTCCTCGAGAGATCGACCCGGGGAACGAATCCTTCGATTCGGTACTCGGTAAGAAATAAAATAATTTGCTACAACAAATTTGACGCCGTTGTCGGGGAAGGCAAGTAGGATATTTGGTTTTGGTATTGGTTTTATTTTTCGTGTTTCTCTTATTCTTGTGATATTTACTTAATTTTTGTGTTTCTCTTGATTATTTGTTTATTTGATATTTCTCTTGCTTTTGATGTTTGTGTTGTTGTGTTTTTGTTTTTGCCTCGTGTGCCTTTGGTTGTTTTGTTTTTGTTCTTGTGCGAGGTATTTGCTTGAGGAATTCCGATGAATCCATACGATTATTCCTATGCCGAAAATTTGTCTCGTGGATACCCCGACAATTATCAAGGGGAGATGTATTCGTATGGAGGGCCGCCCAACCCGTATCCGAGCCATTCAAATCATTATTACCATGACGGATACACCACATCCCAAGGGTATGGCCCGAGCCATTCTTACCCGATGTCTCAAGGAGGATATGGTTATTATGCTCTGAATCAATACGAGTCGCCTTATTACCAACCGCCATCTTCCTACGATTACTACCCTCCGTTTAGACGAGATTTTTGAGAAAATGGAGAAGTTAAATCAATCCTTTCTATCCATTTGTACTTCAAAGGTGTCCCCATCCGAAAAAGAAGACGACGAGTCTTACACTCTACCACCTCCTATCTACGAGAACCAATCGGTTGGCCAACCTTGTGCATTGAGAACTGAGACTTCAAGTCAAACAAGGGTTGTTCCTACCGACGATCACCAAGAGGTTTTGGCAAATACTCGAGACATGCTCGCGAACCTCATGTCGGTTGTAGAGAAGTTTAACAATTGGGGGATCATTCCCGTTCCATCCGGTCTCCAAAATCAACTAACGGAATTCGACTCAACCGTAGTTACCTTCCTCGACTTGGACACATCTCACATCCCGCTTGGTAGATATGCTTCTCTATCGGCGGAGGTTTGTCGAGAAACCGCACGGTTGGAGAGCGAGTTTTGAACATTGGTGGATATGATTGCATCCTTCAATGAGATTGAGTGCATGTACTCGGTGGTCGACACGATACATGGCATGGAGGATAATTCAAGAGAGGATTTGATTGTGCTGAGTGTTGTTGAAGGAGCTCGGGAGGACACTTATGAGAAGGAGGAGGAGAAGGTAGTCCATTGTTACGAGGATGAGGTTGATGAAGAGGTCGAGTCATCATATGAGGTTATTGAACCAAATTGTGCATTGATAGGTGACTCGGCTCGAGATGTTGAGTATGAGGTGGCTCCCATGTCCTTTGGGTCGTCATCACATGCTGTTGAGGATTGTGAGCATTTAGAGGAGTCGAGTGCGTTTGCGCACATGCTCCCGACACTTGAAGTTGAAGAGTACACATCCGAGATGGCATTGGTGAAGGCCGGGATCGATTCGAAATGCTCCACGGATATGTTCATATTTCCGGAGGTCGATTATGGGGCTTGGATTCGTAATGCTTTATCTCTCCTCTTGGTAGCTGTTGATGTTCGTGCTCTGCATCATAAGAACATAGCCACGAGGGTTTTACTCTTTGCCCGCCTTTGTTCCGAACTACCATCGAGACTATTATTGGAGAATACGAAGGCATGGCACGATTGCCACTTCTTTCTGGATCTTGGTTGATTTGTACCCAGGTTTCGTCAAGCTAATGACGTTAAACAAGCGCTTCTTGGGAGGCAACCCAAGTGATTTATCGTTTTGTTAGTTATTTTCTTTTTTCTTTTTTAGTTTTATCTTTGAATAATGGGAGTTTTGGAGTTTTGTGTTTTTCTTGGCAGGACGTGTCGAGGTTCTAGGTTAAGCATGGGCGAAAGGCCTGCATGGGAATGCTTACTACACTCGAAGC